ACAAGAGCGTCCTTTCCGAAATCCCGATTGTTCTTCTTGTAATTTAGCCTCTGCTATAATTTTCAATTGAGCGTTGATAATTAAAATTAAATTTTGAATTTTAAAAGTTCAATATTCACTTCTACACAAAGCAGACAAATCTGAACCAATCAAACGGGAATGGAAACCATGAAAGTTAGAAGTATTTTAAAGTACACGTGGTAGTATGGCAAATTCATTATCTCTTGAGGTATAAATGATACAAATACGTCTTATGAAAGTTCATTTGATATTCACGTTCAATAAAAATCAAAGTTGAATTGTGAAGTAACATGTGAGAACGTAATTTTATCCTACAAATTTCAATCATTAAGTTACAAAATGTAGTAAACGGGTAGAGTATTAGATAGCGATGGTAATGTTCAGTAAACTAAAATTCAGATTACAGCACTATCGAAGAGAAATTTACATTACCGGCAACGCACATCGTAGATTAACAAGGTATATTTTGCGAAACGACAAGAGTTCATAAGCGGTTTCCTGTTGTTTTTTCTGCAACGCGCGTTTCTTAACGCGCGTCAACGCAACTTTGAACAAGGCGTCTAATACATAACTTGCGCCGTAAAGCATTATTTTTTTCAAAAGTTGCCGAAATTCCTTTTTTTAAGTTTTTGTTTTACCGTCAAGAAATTTAAAAAATGTAAGCGTATATCTAAATGGTGAGACGCTTCCTGAATCCAGCGCAGTTTCAACCGTCCAATTATGATATAAGCGTTGTAAAGCAAAATTTGGTAAAATATGTCCCGGCGTCCCCAGGTCGTGCTGACGTCTTACATATTTGATGAAAGCTAAATGAGTCTTTCAATTAAATCCCATACGTTTTGCTATTAGTTGTATGGTAAAATATTTCTCCAAGGGCGTCCTTTTGTAAAACAATTTTCTTCTATTATTATATCATAGATATTAACGAGTCTTTTATTTAAAATTTTTGCGTAGAGGTTTATCGACAATACTAGTTAGAATCGAAAGTATTAGTGTTTAGTGGGCCGAACAAGCCTGCTCCATGCTTCATAACGGTCTAACAAGCATGCTCCATGGTTAACTTCTTGTCTCTTGTGGTCTGCTGCTCCATGAGTTACAAATGAGTTAAAAGTTCTTATGAAATAACCTTGACGCACAACCGTTTTAAATCTAGTAAAACTTATGGTAAAGAAAAGGAGTAAAAATTACTTGGAAATTTTGTATAGCAACAAGTCAGAAATTCTAAGAGTCTTTCTTATCACGATCTTTTTCAAGCAAATTGTATGGCGCATGGAACACGTAGAAAAATGTTGGAATTTGAGAGCTAGGTCAAATAATGCATTCCATATTCCCTTAGATGACCTCAATAACTTTTTGCATCCGCTGTCCATGAAATATACTCTACGTTTCTGGGAAAGTCATTGCTTATTCTGAAAACATAAGCACCTCATGACGGTCTGTTTCCACAATGCACATTGCGAAGAAGTTGAAAAATAGTTAATGCAAAGCGTTTGGCCCTCAGGCTTTTTGTCGCCGCTCAGTAATTAGAACCCTTATAACGCCCTGGGTGAATAAATAACTATTTTCTTTAACAACTAAATATTTCCGCAAATGAAGGAACTTGCTTGTGTACTACGACTACCTCTAACATGACCAAACTCCCCAAACCCTTTTGATTACCGACCTAAAAAAATACTATCAACATTCCGCAATTTTCTTGAAAAACAATTACATCAGCAAATAGAATAATTATAAATCATTTTCACAATTTTTGCCAAATTTGGCATTTTTAGTAATGGCTTTAAAGGATGAAAGTTGTTTTTGAACAACTAATTAGCAACAATAATAGCGACAGTTTCCCACGTAAACGTTTTTCATTTATGTACGTGATAACTTCGTTTTTCTTGAATTATTGGGCTAATAAGTTAGCAGAAAATCGTATTTCTGTATTAATTGAAGATCAACAAAATTTCGTTTGTGGCGACTATTTAGCCCAAAAAAGAGACAATTTCTTCTGTAGATAACTTTTTTGTTTTCTCTACTTTTTTGTAATGATCGGAATTTAGCAATCCCGTAAAGTTTTAGAGTGCCGAATATTATTTTTAGATCACCACTAGTAATAGCGTTTCATATGCATAGCGTTGTAGTAGTTCAATTTTAAGCACTAGTGCTAAAAGTGAGATGACGCTCAAATATTCTGCTGAATATGTGAATCCAAAGAAAAAATAATGCTACCGTGAGACCGCAACATCTACTGCTGACCTCAACGTGTCATTAAATGATTTTTATACTAGAATAAACATAAAGCGAAAGTCAGTAAGGCTGTTTAAAAATAGTGTATGACACGCGTGGTAGAAGTGATTGTGCCACTCGTGATAAAAGTGATTTTATTCTGCGAGTAGAAGAGATTGCGCCTTTGGTGGAAAAAGTGATTTTATTCTGCGAGTAAAAATTATTGCGACGTGGTAAAAGTCATTTTATTCTGCAATAAAGAATGATTCCGCCACGCGTCATAAATTGAATTTATTCTGCAAGTAGGAATGATTTCGCTACGCCTTATAAATTTCAACTTCAAAATTAGGTTCAAAATTGATATTAATAATTGGTAAATTTTACGCGGAAAGCGCTTCATTGGCACCCGTTTTATAGTTGTTTATAGTTAAGTACAACTTTATTTATTTTGTTACAAAATTAGTTCATAGTTAGAAGAATAATAAAGGCTAATTAAATTAGAATTTTTGAAAAGAAAGGTGCTGTGGCAGATACTTTTGTATGGAGCCGCTCCCAATTTTTCGCTCTTGTAGAGTGTAATAACACTGTTGAGGGACACGATAAAATATTGAAATGATTACATATAAAAGTTAATTATAATGTTGAACTGCATTATAAATTTTAACTTCAAAATTTGATTCAAAAAAGGCTTAAAAAATTCGCGAATTTAGACGGAATGCACTTCATAGGCCCCTGCTTTTCAAATGTTTATAGTCAAGTACATTATTATTTATTTTGTTACAAAATAAGTACAAAGTTGGTAGAATACTATATGCTAGTTAAATTGAAATTTCTGAGAATGGGGATGCGGTGGCGGACACTTTTGTTTATAGCCGATCCCAATATTTCGGATTTGTAGAGATTAATAACACTAATGTGGATCCACATAGTATTTTGAAATTATTACATGTAAAAGGTCACTATGGTCCTGAACTGCATTATTAATTTCAACTTTTATATTTGAATTAAAATGTGCTTTTAAAATATCGAAAATATATGTGGAAAGTGCTTTATTGGCAGCCATTTTTTAATTCTTTATAGTTTAGTACAATTGTTTTTTATTTTGATACAAAATTAGTACATATTTAGTAGATAATGTTGGGCTAGTCGATTTTGAATTTATGAGAAGTGGGGGTGCTAGCTTGACGTCAAGCTAGCACGCCCACTTTTGCGTGTGGTTTATTATTGTTTATAGTTGAGTACACAAGTTTGTATCGTGGTACAAAATTAGTGCATATTTAGTACAAAATTATAGGCTAGTTGATTTTGAATTTCGAACAAGTGGGCATTTTTCCGACGGTTATCACTAAAATCGGCATGAATCCCTTATCAGTTGTTTCCAATGTCGATCCCAGGAGTTGAAGCAAACTTTGTTTGCGGTTTGAATATTGTAGCAGAATGTGATTTGTGATTCTCCATATTTTCTTATCTAGAAAAAGATTTGTTTTTGCTTGGAATCGACATTGTAGTGGAACACGCGAGCAGTAGTTCTGCTACACCTTAATCTATTATTTCAACTGAGTAATAAGTATCCCAAGACATCCTCAATCCTCGTTATGACCAGTTTTTATGACGAGATATCCAAACTAAGTCACCTGACGCACTAACTTCAGAATGATGAAACCTGTTACCGTGGGCGTAGCCAGGATTAATGATAATGTTGTCGGTCGTATAAAAGTAGCGCCAGCACGAGCCTAAAACATGTAATGTAATAAACCTTTTTTATTAACCGTGGGGCGATGACGTCGTTAAGGCGGAGGGGGCGTGGTTCGGTCGGAATGCATAAAGCGGACCTCCAGAGGACGGACCACTCCAACACGCACGACGGGCGTAGTCTTGTCATAAGAGTCGTAATGTAGGGCAGGTACTTTCCAACTCAGAAATAATATTCTTGAAAAATGTTCAGTTTGAGAACTCAAATTTTGTTTCAGTCTTGAGAACGTTTTGTTGAGGAAGTTTCAATCCTCTTCTATCAACCCCGTGTTTGGGGAATCATATTTTACTGATTTAATTGTAATAGTTCATCTCCATAATTCCTGATTATTTGTAGGTGATTGACGATAATTATTAAAATAATTTGCTGAATTTTTGTCCAACTAGTGAGCGACTAAGATGGGTCATGACACTCGGAGGCGTCGCTAGGTGGGTTCAACGAAGTTGTTGCTTCTCAGGAACCGTTGTAAACGGAATGTTATCTGGGAATCCTTTCTTAAATCGAGGAGTTAATCATAAGTAACACCACGAGTGCTTTGGAAATTGTCGATAAATCTCCGACTCGCGAAGAGAGGAGGGGATTTATCTGAGAATTTCCAAAGAACAAGTGGGATTTATTAGGACTATTTCACGAGTGAAATTATGTCCAACAGAGGTCCAAAATGCGCCAAATATTGAAAAGAACTGAAAGAGTATGTTAAAATCAGATGTTATGGGGTGTACTCTGTTTATTGAACTTCGACAAAGCAATCGTAGTATAATACCTTCTAACATAGATGAGTATAACGCCTCCTAAGACAGTTTATGATTAGCTAGTATGTAGAAGCGGTAAGAAAAATCGGATAGAAAAAGCGATAAACTTTTTAAGATAGACCGCCCTGATTGGGGCATTTTCTATTTTATAGTTAAACACTATGGTTTTAAATTCACGAGTAAATATTCAGAATATATTTAATAATCTTCTTTCAAAGTTACAGTTCCTTATAAGAAAAAAGTAAGAATGCCCATAATGACTAAAGAGTACTTTTACAAGTCGTATTAATTTATTTTAATAGAAACACATATATAACACCTTTACAGAAGCAAGAATAGGATGATCGAAATTATTTATTGGGTGGTGCAAGTTAATGGCTGCTCATTTCTGCTCATCTCAAACGCGCAAAGTGATATGTAAAACGAGACAATTAGTGTTGGCAAGATTCAGCTGTTACGTAAAACAAAAATGGAGAGATAATACGAAATTGCAACGCTTGAACCAAGAATAACGCTGATTCTCTTTACCATGACGCAGAAAAGGCAAACCGCAAAAATGGGCTCTAAATAATAATAATAATAATAATAATAATAATAATAATAAATAAAATAATTTTATGCAGGAGACGCTGTGATTTGACATCCTGAGTTATTTGTCGATAGAGAGCGCTATTCTGCGCGTTTACTAAACGCTCTTAAAAGTATATTGCCATTAAAAACATATGAAATAACCAGGATCTATAATAGGCACAGAACTTGTACAATTATGTGCGCGTTGGGCCTGGCACCGCCCGGGTGTCGTGCAGGGGCCCGACTCCCGCGATGCGTCATGCGGAGGTGGTGGCGGGGTGGGGCGGAGCGGAGCGGGGTGGGGCGGGGCGCGAGCAGTGCTCCCTCGGGTGGCGCAGCGAGTTGAACGCGCTCCCCGCTGGGGGCCGGTGGCCAGGGGCGTTGTTCGAGGAGGTGAGCCAAACCAAGTGCGTCCACTACCAGATACTACGCCCGCTTCGCAATCTCGAGTTTGTTCCTTCCTCAATAACACTCGGAGCAGTAATATACTGGCTCTTAGTTCTATCTTGAGGAATACTGTGTCCTGTATTGGATATAAAGAGATTGGATATATTTTATCTGGTGAGCTAAGCCACAACTTAATTTTAGTACAATTTGACGTCAAGTATTTTGAGTACTTGACCTACTCGCAACAACTGATGGTAATGCTGGGAATACTGAAGTTAATTTTGTTGTAAGTACTGGCGACCCTTTGTCTGAATACTATCATTTTTTACCGGACGATTAAAAGTTAAACAAAATAATAGTTTTAAAGATAGTGAGTTGACCTACTTATGTAAAACTTCAGTTGATCCTAAATCTCTCTTGCTTCAGGTCATAAAATGCACATTATGTTGTTTTTTTGAGGGGGGGGTCATCACAATCGTGAGATTCTTCCCATCCTTACGCATTTTTAAACAATCAATGATGATCGAGAAATCATAACCATCTGATTTCCATATAGGGGAACAAGAATGGTATACAGGGCTTCAAGGCCAGCTGGCTTTTTGAACCTTATTTTAAAGTTATCTAAGAAAGAAATATTAGAGCACACATGCCATGATTTGGTTTACAAAAGAATCCGTCTTTGCGCGGCAATCGAACGTGTACCAACAATAGAGGAAAAACAAGCTTAGAAATAGATATTTTTAAATGTATCTTATACAATTTTAAAAAATGAACAAGCCACAACGTTTGAATATTAACTTCGAAGAGAGGAAATATTAACTACATGCGATCACAGTTTCGATTTTGCCGCCCGTTATCTTCCGCGAGCGTTTTCTACAAACTGCCGCCCCACTAGCTGTTCCCAGTCCGCCTTGCGAACTACGCAGCCCTAGTTTCTAGTTCCTAATTCGACCACTGGTCTTCGTTAGAGCGAAGGGATGCAGCGAGTGGGCGGAGGAGGGAGGAAGGCCGCACTTTGTGCTTCCACTTCCTGCAAACAAACAGGAATCTGTAGTTCTGTCTATAGTTCAAAACTCCTCGTGCATCAACGATTATTAATTCAAACCTTTGGTGTCTCTTGTAATCACAAATGTTGCCATGGGCAAAATAATACATTGGGAAGTTTATATACAATTCATACAAGGGTTGTTCATATACATTTATTTCGCAAAGCATTTCGTTTTGTATCGGAATCTTTCTGATGGAATGATTTATCGATGTGTTATGTCTTTCGTTGCCCAAAAACCTAAGTCAATGTCACGTTGTTTCCGACATGGTGCCTATTATAGTATCGAGTCGCACGTCGCAACATTGGATCAGTACGTGAACATTGTGAAACTCAAAGTTCATTAGAAGTTACATAATAAATATGGATTATGGAAGATTCCGAAACAGCAAATGAAACGTTGTATGAAATGAAAATGAAAATAATTCGTCCGTGACATTCATCAGACATTATTAATACGTTTCGGTATGAGAAGCAAAGCATTCCGCAACAACACGCTCAAAGCACCTTGGGAGCGCACGTGTTCTGTATACTTGCGCGCTGTTCAAACCCTCTTTCAGCCACGGAGACAGGTTGAAATTTCCTGCCGACGGAATTATCGTGAAAATTATTTCATGATTTCTGCAGTAACCCTCGTATTCCAGGCTTCTATCGCAAATGGAAACTTGTGAGCATTTAGCATTTAGTGTTTTCGTGCGATTCAGTTACTATGATCATTAGCACGTAATTATAGTGAATGTATAAACCGGAAGGTGGCAGTGTTTCTATTCGACTGCGTCGTGTCCTGTAATGCCGATCTACACGAGGACTGAGTTCCCTCTCCAGATTTCCCAGATGGGCAAATTTTCGATTGATATCCTGGCACGAGTGGTATTGTTTTGCTTGGAAGTGTGTGTGTGTGTGTAAGTAAGTGTGTTACGGGTGATGGGGGGAGGTAAGTATAGGGAGGAAAGGATTATGTGCTTTCCATGGTTCGTTTATTAAGGTATTGCTGCGACAATCGCTTGGTATTGATCGTAGAAGCCTCGAAAAGTGCCGAACA